CTCCATGTAGCGTAGTGGTTACAAATCGGGCTGTGAAACGCAAGGCCAGCAGTTTGAAACTACCAGCTGTTCCACGGTAGAAAGATGAGGCTTTCTGCTCCCGTAAAGATTTGCAGTCTTGGAAACCCTGTGCAGGGTTGCTATGAGTCGGAACCAACTCCATGGCACACAACAACAACAACAACAACATGTTTGAGATGCAAAGTTCAACCTATATGTCATCCTGGGGCTAGAAGTGGCCAGTCACAGAGGGCTTCTGAATGAAAATGTGCTAGAATCTTTATTCTCAGCTGACAATATGATCTTTCATTCACATTTTAGAATTATAGCCCCAGAGCCCATGAAAAAGTTATCAGTATAACGAGTGGCTTCAGGAAGACTCCAGAATTCAAGAACAAAGTGCCTCTGTAGGCTAAGCACTGCTAACTGGACGGCTAACCACAAGGTCGGCGGTTTGAGTCCACTAGTCACTCCTCAGGAGAAAGGTGAAGCTTTGCGCTTCCGTAAAGATTTATAGCCTAAGAAACGCTCTACAGTCTCTAAGAGTCAGAACCAACTCGATGGCATCTAACAGCATTATAAACATTTTTATAGTGAACAATTGAAATTTAAAATATTTTCTGATTTAAAATAGTACCAAACCAATAACCGAAACAGTAAAACCTACTGTCAGCAAGTGTTGTTGCTGTTAAGTGCCTTCAAGTCGGTTCCAACTCTGGTTATTAAATGACAACCCTGTGTGTCAGAGTAGAACTGTCCTCCACAGGGTTCTCAGTGGATGAGTTTTCATAAGTAGATCTCACTCATGATTCCCCCGTGTGTGTCAGAGTAGAACTGTCCTCCACAGTGTTCTCAGTGGATGAGTTTTCAAAAGTAGATTCCACTCATGGTGCCCCTGTGTGTGTCAGAGTAGAACTGTCCTCCACAGTGTTCTCAGTGGATGAGTTTTCATAAGTAGATCCCACTCATGGTGCCCCGTGTGTGTCAGAGTAGAACTGTGCCCACAGGGTTCTCAGTGGATGAGTTTTCATAAGTCGATTCCACTCATGGTGCTCTCATGAGTGTGAGAGAACTAGGCTCCACAGGGTTCTCAGTGGTTGACAGAAGACATGAAATCCTTCAACACTGACAAGTAAGTGTACTATCTTTACATTGAAAACTGATCTCTAAATGGAGACATGGCCTGTCATTATGTACAGAAGACTCAATACGGTTTAATGTCAATTCTTCACAAACTGATCCATAGATTCAACACATTCCATTTAAAGGAAACACATCAAGATTTCTCTTTTTATAAATATCAAACGATGGTTTAAACATTTATATGGAAAAGCAGAGGAATTGGAAGTGCCCAAACAATCGTGACAAAGAGACACAAAGTCGGAGCTCTCAGAGACCGAGATCTAACACTTACCTCAAGTGAAAATGGTGCAGATGGGATTTCCTGATGAAAGGACAGGCAGATAACCAAGTGGAACAGAACAGAGAGGCTGGGAGACACTCACACCTACAGGATGGCTGTGGCATGGTGGTGGAAACTTTCCATTATATCTTTGTTCTATTTTTTCCACAAGTTTTTTAAACTTTCTTGCTTTACAATAAAGGTGAAAGGGCAACTCAGTGAAGAAATATAATCATTTCTACCTGATCCTGAAACAATTGTCCATCCATGTGCAAAAATAAAAACCGCAAAAACAGTCTTGAGCCACACTTTGTACCTTACGCAAAGGTTAACTTAATGAAGCATAGAGTTAGAGTGTAAAACATAAAATGACGAAATGTTTGGAAGGAAACCTGGGAGAACTCTGTGTGGACCATAGTTAGAGAAATGTTCCTGAGGTATGACATTGAAAGTATGAAAGGAAAAAAATGGATAAAATTTGACGTGAGCAGAATGAAAAACTTTTGTTCCATGAAAGATACTGTTAAGAGATTAGAAACACAAGTTACAGGCTGGTAGGTGGTATTTTCAAAATGCATATCTAACAAAGGACTTAAGTTTAAAACATAAATAACTCTCAAAACACAATACACAACACGATTTCAAAAAATGAGCAAAAGATTTAAACAGACACTTCACCAAATGTATAGTTATATAGGTAGCAAAAATGTTAAGTGTCATTGATTCGCTTCCAACCCACAGCAATCCTGTATAGGGTTTCCAAGGAGCAGCTGGTGAGCTTGAACCGCGGACTTTGAGGTTCACAATGACTTTGCTGTCCAGTGCCTTAACCCACAGAGCCATACCAGGACCCCAGATAGTCATTAAGGAAGTAGAAATTAAAATGATGAGACAATACAATACAACTGTGGAACCCAACCCAACCCACAGCCATCAATCCCTTCTGGCCCCTAGAGACCCGCTGTTGTGGTTGGTAAGTGCTATGGAGTCGCTTCCAACTCATAACAACCTTGTAGAGGGTTTCTGAGGAACAGCTAGTGGGTTTGAACTGCTGGTCTTGTGGTTCATAGTTCAGTGCTGATCCTACAGTGTCATACGAGGAATCCAGGGACCCCACAATACAGGGCAGAACTGCCCCCTTGTATGTTGTTGTTATTGTTAAGTGCCATCGAGTCTGTTCCAACCCACAGCGACTCTGTATACAATTTCCAAGGGGTGGCTGGTGGGTTTGAACTACTGACCTTGTAGTTAGCAGTCCAGTGCTTATCCTCCAGCGCCATAGCAGGACTCTCTTATGTATGTGAGGTTTAAGGCTAGGCAAGAGATTATTTACACAGTATTCTAACAGAAATGAGCTTTGGTGTTGGAACAGTTACATGCTGGAAGGAAAGGTCTGCAGTTCAAAGCTCCTGAGGGAGAAAGGTGTAGTAATCTGAAAAGATACAGCCGCGAGAAGCCTGTGGCGGTGGTGTACTCACTCCTGTGTATGGGCAGCATGGCCAGGAGTTGGACTTGACTTGGTGGCAGTGGGCTGGGCTTGGTTTGGCTTTTCTGGACAAGGGTTTTACTTTCCCCTTAAGCGGCCACCTTCTCTAAGTCCGATGTAGACTGGACTAGAAAGTTGTCAGTACTGGTTTATGATCAGGTTTGTTCATCACTAGCTGTGTGTATGGGAAACATTAACTGACTTCTGCCAAACGAATCTCTCTCTCCAGTTCTGAATCTCTCCAGAGATTTATTTGTTGCTCAGTTATAGTGACTCACAGTGACCCTGCACAGGGTTTCTGAGGAGCGACTGGTGGGTTTCAGCTGCTGACTTTTCGGTTAGCTGTTCATTGCTTTCCTACAGCATCACACCACGACTCCTTTGTTGTTGTTGTTAAGTGCCATCGAGTTGGTTCCGACCCATTGTGACCCTGTACAGGTTTTCTGAGGAGTGGCTGGTGAGCTTGAACCGCCAACCTTGTGGATCAACTTTGCAGTCCAGCGCATTAGCCCACAGTGCCTTTGTTGTTGTTGTTAAGTGCCATCGAGTCGGTTCCGACCCATAGCGACCCTGTATAGGGTTTCCGAGGGTGTAATGCCTTTAGACAACTTCAAATTCCTACTGAACACCTATTGCCAGCTCCCATGCAACATTTAATTATGTAGGGATGTAAATCACATTGAAATGCTCTATTCAGAGACAAATTATAACTGTGACTTATTGGCTTGTGTATTCAAACCTGAATTCTTCAACCAGATTTCTCTTACTGGACCAGAAACTCTTTGCGGGGAGGGGAAGAGGGTCTTTGTGACCATGTGTTAGCCATCACGTGGGGAGAACTTTGCTATGTTTCAGTTCGCTGGTATGATTACTTGCCTTTGCAAAAATACAGACAAGTCTGATTACTCATCGATGTTTTCAGGCCCCCCTGACCACGCACGTGGTGGTGCTATGTCACCGTCTCCCATTGACCCCCCAGGTCCCCAGGACCCCCCACATCATTCTCTTATACATTTGTTCAATAGCATTTCACACTCTCCAAAGCTCTATCAATCCATCAATCGATCTGTGTATCTTTCTGTCTAATCTGTCCATCTCTCCTTCTACCCATATACATATACAAGCTCATCTATCGGTCTACCTACCTATCATCTAATTATTCATTCGTCTAATTATCTACCTACCTCTGGTAGCTTAGTGGTTATAAATCGGGCTGTGAACCACAAGGTTGGCAGTTTGAAACTACCAGCTGTTCTGTGGGAGAAAGTTGAGGTTTTCTGCTCCCGTAAAGTTTTATAGCCGTGGAAACCCTACACAGGGTCGCTGTGAGTCAGAACCGACTCCACAGCACTTAACAACAACAACAACATCACCCATTGGTCTGTCTGTCCATCTATTTATATCAATCAGTCAGTCATAGCTCTCCATCTGTGTCCACACACATACTTATCCATCTACCTACTATTTTTTATCTATCAATAAATCTTATCAATCTATTTATCTACCTATCCATCCATCCAACAACCTGTCTATGTGCCTATCATCTATTTCTCTATCCATCCATGCATCCATCCATTGATCTATCGACCTAGCTGCCTACCCTGCCTCCCTACCTGCCTATCATCTGTCTGTCTGTCTATTTGGTCTGTGTATTGATCCATCAGGTCTATATTCTATTGTCTGTATCTCTACCATTCCCCTCTATCTTTTCATCATCTCTCTCTAGTTCATCTCTTCCTCTCTTTTTTGCTCTGTTATCTGAAGCCTCTGACCATGTGTTAAACTCCACGAGCTCAGGGACTGGGCATGCTCACTGCATACATCTATAACCCGGATCCATGTCTGGTACATAGTGTTACTAGCGATGCTAAGTGCCATCCATTCAGCTCCGACTCAGAGCGACCCTGTATAGGGTGTCTGAGGAGCAGCTGGTGGGTTTGAACCTCCAAACCACCAACCTTGTGGTTTCCTGTTCAGTGCTTATCCTACAGTGCCACATCAAAACCCAAAGCAAAGCAAAACACAGTACCGTCGTGTTGACTTGCCCTGAATAGAATGCTGCCTGATGCTGACTGAACCATCGACAGAAATGAATTTACTTCACAACTTTACCTGCAAACAGGTTCTACGAGGTCCTTTTCAAGGAAGTCATGGTCCTTCCTGACAGCCACGATGTTGATGGGAAATTGTGAATCTGAGGGACAGAGAGAGAGAGAGAGAGAGACAGGGGCTCAGGCACCTTGTTTTAGGTGAATGGACACCCAGCCTCCAGCCCACTAGGGGTCTGCACAAGCCACTGGTCCTAATAGCAGCTCCTCCTCGGCCAGTGAGCATGCTGATAGTGTTCAAGACAGCAGACGATTTGTTTCCTTCACAACACGTGCTCTGAAGAGTGCCGAGGAAATATGGCATATGAGAGTCACCAGGTACTGGACATCAGATAAACTGGACTCTGAGCGGCCTGAGGTTTTTCGGCCCACTGTCATCTCAGACACGCTGATGTGAACTCAGAGATGTTTGTTTACGCTCCATGCGACAAAACCCCAGGCCACTGCCTTCTATCCTGATGGACCCATGAAATGTTTACTTTGGTGGAATGGTATTTTCCTTCAAGAAGGGCATTTCCCAAAATAGCCCAAGCTCAGTGACCTCAAATGTTTTCTTTAGTAACAAAATCCTGAGTCTCTTTGGAATAGCAGTGAAATACTCCGATAACAGAATCTACCCACATAGAAGAGGACCAGTATTTTTCTCCCAAACTGTTCATGTCAACTTTGGGGTCCAGGGCAATACTCAGAATGTGGTGTTAATTTTAGGGCCCCTATTGATGGGGTGCTCTGGTGGCTCAGTGGGATAGGCATTGAGCTGCTAATGACAAGGTCGGTGGTTCAAACACGGGAGAAAGATGAGGCCGTCTGCGCCGGTAAAGATTTTCAGCCTTGGTCCCTTATGAGACAGTTCTGCTCTGTCCTGTAGGGGTCGCTGTGGGGTCGGAACGGACTCAGTGGTAGTGGGTTTGTTAACCTGGAGGTGAGACAACAGGAATAGAAGCCCAGGTTAACCCTGACAGACAAGGCAGGGCTCTCCTCGTAACCTTCCATGCGTTGTCTGCCCCTTGAGGGTCATAAAACGTTGTTGAGTTGACTTTCAACTCACAGAGACCCTGTTTGGGAGGATAGAACTGCCCCCACAAGGTCATGGTTCTGCCCCCCCCCCCCACTGTGGGGTGGTTGGGTGTGTTTGAACTGGCGATTTTTTTATTGCAGCCAAGTGCTTTAGCATTGTGCCACCAAGGAACCTTTGGGAAGCAATGCTGTTGCTGTTAACTGCCGTCCAGTTGGTTCCGATTCATACTGACCATCGCTATGGTTTCTGAGGAGGGGCGGGTAGTTTTGAACCACCGACCTTGTGGATCACAGTCCAGAGCATATCCTACAGCACCACCCCAGGACTCCTCATTTTATTGCATTTCACTTTATTAGTACAAATGGAAGTTCTGGAAAGCCCACGCCACGCAGGTCTGCGAGCACTGTTTCATAGCAGAGTGCTCATGCGCGGTGTCTCGGTGTCCAGTGCTGGCCACTTTCACGATGTTTCCAGTTTTTATCACACTGTTGCCACTTCGTGGACAACAGTCCAGAGCCAACATCACTTTGATAAACATTGGGGAGCCGCAAAAATGCATGTGGCTGGCAGTAAACCCCTCACATCTCTGAGGCTGGCCTGTGTTCTCTAAGGACAGAGAGGGGCTGGGGGGCAGACATACCCTCGAAGAGCTGAGAGTACTGGGGGAAACCAGCCGCTCGGAGCCAGTCACATGCTTCCTTTGCCTCGATTTCTGAAAAACACAAGAGAAACGGATGAGTGGGGCAGGCACACGCCAGCACCTGGCCTTACCCAGGAAAGGACATCCGTGACCACGATCCGGTGACCACAAACCACAGTTGTTCTCAGGTTGTGGCTGTTGTTGTTAAGTGCCGTTGAGTCGGTTCCAACTCATAGCGACCCTTTATAGGGTTTCCAAGGAGACACCGGTGGGCTTGAACCACCAACCTTGGGGCTAGCAGTCCAGTGCTGACCCCACAGCGCCACTCCAGGAGTCCTGTTCTCAGGTAAGCCTGTGCAAGTAGGCATGCCGAGAAATGGGGGCCCAGTCAGCAAATACCATGAGGGTGAAGATGATCACCAATGTTGATCCCTAAGTCTTTGATTAATGACAAAACCACTTTATTTATTGTACTTTTTTCTGAAAACTCAAAGGCAGAGCTTCTGGTGGGAAAACATTTTATTTATGCAGCAGGCAACCAGGTGGCAACACAGAGGAGGAGATATTTTATAGCCCTTTTATTAAAAAAAACAATTTTTCATTTTTACATTTTAAACGTAAGAAAAGGAATGATGATGATTGTGAGCCACTGAGTCGGTTCTGACATGTAGCGATCTCGTATAGGGTTTCTGAGGCTTTACCAGAGCAGAAAGCCTCATCTTTCTTCACATGTCTGGTAGAGTTGAACTTGCAGTTAGCAGCCCAGCCCAACTCATAATCCACTAAGCTACCTGGGCTCCTTAAGGACAAGAACAGTATTTTGTTGATGTTAAGTGTCAAGTCAGTTCCAACTCATAGAGACCCTGTAGAGGGTTTCAAAGAAGTGACTTGTGAGTTTGAACTGTCAACTTTGTGGGTCAAACCAACTTTGCAGTCCAGCGCATTAACCCCCAGCGCCACATCAGGAGACACATTACACAAACCAGAACCAACCAAGCCCATTGCTAATGAGGCAATTATGACCCATAGGGACCCTATATAGAGTTTTTGAGCCTATAAGTTTTTACAGGGCAGATAACCTCATATATCTGCTGCGGAGGGGCTGCTGGGTTTGAACTGCCGGTGACATAAGTTGTAATTATTAGCTCTGCAGCATGATACATAAGAGTCTATATGAGTATATAGTGACACAATAGATGACAGCCTAGGAGACCCTATAGGACAGTTCTACTCTGTCACATGGGGTACTGTAAGTCGATGATATACAAGAATATATATGAGTATATAAGGAGCTCTGGTAGCGTAGTGGTTACAAGTCGGGCTGCCAACCTCAAGGTCAGCAGTTCGAAACTACCAGCGGATCTGTGGGAGAAAGATGAGGCGTTCTGCTCCTGTAAAGATTTACAGCCTAGGAAGCCCTGTGCAGGGTCACTATGAGTTGGGACCTACTCCACGGTACTTAACAACAACAACAACAACATATGAATATAGAGTAACGCAATAGATAACACCCTAGGAAACCCCGTGGACAGTTCTCCTCTGTTACACCAGGGGGCACTGTGAGTGGATGATCTATAAGAGTATATATGAGTATATAGTGACACAATAGATGACAGCCTGGAAAACCCCATGGGCCAGTCACTATACACTAGTTGTTCTTGTTGCTCTTAAGTGCCATTGAGTTGGTTCTGATTCATATCAAACCTGTATAGGGTTTCTGAGGAGCAACTGGTTAGCATGAACCGCCAACCTTACAATTCAAACCGAACTTGCAGTCCAGCACATTAAACCGCAGCGCCACGCCAGGACTCCTACTCTTATAGATCAGAGGGTTTCCTAGGCTCTCATCTACTGTGTCACTATATACTCATATATACTCTTATAGATCATCCACTCACAGCGCCCCCTGGTGTAACAGAGGAGAACTGCCCCACAGGGTTTCCTAGGCTGTCATCTATTGTGTCACTATATACTCGTATATACTCTTATACATCATCCACTCACAGCGCCCCCTGGTGTAACAGGAGAACTGCCCCACAGGGTTTCCTAGGCTGTCATCTATTGTGTCACTATATACTCATATATACTCT